GCTGGGACACACCACGGTGCCTCAGTTTACCCGTCTGTACAATGAGGTGAATGCTAGTGGCCGGCCTTGCAGGCAGATCTGCCTCCCACTGAGCTCCTTAACAGCCATAAAGCCCTTTGAGAGGCTGCAATAGCAGCTGCTAGACAGGTGCAAAGCACGGGTCTAAGAAACAGAGCGTCCCTTGCTTGCGTCGCCCAGCTGCCTGCCAGAGAGCCCTGCAGAAGAAATACACTGAGGCTGGCAGGAGTCCAAACCTCCACCAGGATCTTTGGGCTTCTGAGAAGCCCAGTTCATGCTTTGTAGATTTCCCCCAGCTAGAAGACAGGCTCTGTGGCACAATGGATAGTGCATTGGACTTCTAGCTTGATAATTGGGTAAGCCATTCAAAGGTTGTGGGTTCGAGTCCCACCAGAGTCTCATTTTTAACCAAAAGACGGGTCTGGCGAAAACAAGGAGGAAGTCCTAGCATGAATTCCACAGAAAAGGCCAGCCCCCGGAACAATTCCTGCCAGGAGCATGGTGCACTTTGAAGTGCTGCATGCTCCTGGCAGGGCAGGAGGAGACTTCACTCGCTCCCCTGCCCCCAAACCTTGATTGGCCTGTGGGTGGGGAAGAGTGCAAAGCTTAATGGAAAGGGGGCAAAGGGGCTCCTCCATCCCCAGACCTATTATGGTCTGAGGGTGGGGAAGCCCAGAAGCATCGTGCCCTTCTGTATTAGGCCCTGCCTCTTCAGGGATGGTCTAGGGCCACTTCAAAAAGTTTTGAAGTGGCCCCCAGCCAAAAATGATTGCCAACCCCTGATCTACCTGTATCTTTAAAACCCATCCTGGGGAGGGGCTGGCCATTGTTAATGCCTGTCTGGGCCACTGGGCAGAGGTAGTGCACAGTCAACCTGTGGAACTCCTTGCCAGAGGATGTTGTGATGATCAGGATTTTAACTGGGCTCAAAAAAAATCTAGATACATTCATGGAGGATAGGTCCATCCATATGTATAAGCCAGGGTGGGTAGGATGATGTTCCCAGCCTCTGTTTGTTAGCGGCTGGGAATGGGTGATGGGATGGATCACTGGATGGTTCCCTGTTCTGTTCACGCCCTCTGGGGCACTTGGCATTGGCCATGTCGGCAGACAGGACACTGGGCCAGATGGGCTTTGGTCTGACCCAGTCCGGCCGTTCTTGTGTTCTTAAGTGAAAGGTGTTGCCATCTGGGCTGTTCACGGGCCCATGGTAGGGATGTTAAATATCAGTTAATTGAATAGTCGATTAACCTCATGAATTCTTATCAGCTACTCAACTATTCTGTAGTCCATGGGGTGGAGCTAGCCCCATCCCCGAGGAGCCCCCACTCCAGAGGACAGAGGCAGCAGCGCGGGGGGCCAGGCGGGAGCTGGTCCACGAAGGGAGCCAGTTTAAAAACCAGCTTCTGTAAAAATACAGAAGCAACAGCGCAGGGTGGCCGCAGCCCTGTCCATGGTGGGGGGCTGAGCTCCTGGATCCAGTGTGAGCCAGAACTGAGCCGGGCTGCCTGCCCGCCCAGCTCCTAATGCACTTTAAGCGCAGAGACGCTGTGGGGGTGGGTCCCGGATCTGGCGCTTGTCAGGACTGAACCGGCCTGCTAAAAAACGTATTGGCGGCAGAGGAGGAGGGGTGTGTGTGTGTATGTAGTCTGTAACCAATAAGCTTTTGCTTATTAGTTAATCGACTACACTCTTACAACCCTAGCCTACTGGCCATGGATTGGCACATCAAATCCAGTTTCCGGCAGACACGAAGACATGACAGCACTGCTACTGGTCCAGCTGCTGATCAGTCTCTTTTATACCTTGTTAGTTTCCAGCATGCCCACGGAACCTTTCGCAATTCGCTTCGACGCAGCAGGAGCGAGCCGAAAGTCTCAGCTCGTCTGCTTTGAGGGCCCCAGCCCGGGCCATGGAGCTAGAATTCTGCAAAGCCGTATCCCTTGTGATGGGAAGCCACGCTCCAAAGAAACCTCCTTGGAATTCTGCTCCCTGACTCCAGCTGGGAGGCTGCTCCAAAGGGCGCTGGAACAGAGGATGGTTATGCCCTGCAGGCTCAAGGAGCCCTGGGCTGCCAGCCATCCCAGCCTGGCTCAGTGCTGAAAAGCGTCCAGGGAGGAAGGAGTCCTGTAAATCCCCAGAACCAGACTCCTGGAATCCCAGGGCAGGGGCAGACTGAAAGCTGAGGGCTCGTGGGGATTTAGCATTTATTTACCATCACAGTTAGGGGGTGGAAGGGAACTTGCAGAGGGGACAACTGTCACACTTCGGGGGAAAGATGCATTTTCTGCTGTTTCTTCTCCTAGAATTGCCTGGCCCCACGTGCCTTCTGATTTCTGAAGACCCTGCTACAGGCTGATCCGTCCTGGCAGAAGAGGGCTGGATCTCGTGTTCTCCCCTGGGCCACCTCCGGCAGAGGTGAGGCTGTGCGGTGTGTCTGAGCGGGAGCAGTGTAACCCCCACACCTGCTGGGGGGGGGGTGTCTATCTCCTCTAGTGGTACTGAGCCCACTTCCAGAGAGAATAATGAGTCCCCAGGGGAAGGAGGAGCCAGCTTCTGAAATTCAGGCAATTCCCGGCAAACCATGAGACTGAACCCACAGGGCACTAGGTGGCTCAGGGACTCGGCCATGGTCTTCAGAGCCTCTTGATGAGCCAGCCAAACCAGGCAGGTCCAAACCTAAAACCTTTTCTCCTGCTGGCAGCCTCTACAGAACAAGGCCTGGATCCCTGCTGGCAGTGGCAGCGAAGAGCCAAGGGTCATCTGGGCCAGGGGTCTGCAGCTGCAAGTAGGGTTGCCAGGTGTCCCGTTTTCGCCCAGACAGTTCGTTATTCGGGTTCCCCCATCCGGTAAAAAAAACCCAGAAAACACCGGACATGTGAAATGTCCGGTATTCCCTCGGACGGAAGCCCGGTGGGGACAATTTTCCCCTGCCATGTCTGGTGGGGGCAGGAGAGTGGAGGGCGCGGGGAGCCGGGTGGTGACATCTTTTTGTTGTTGTTGTTGCTTAACAACTTTGGTCTCCCTCCCTTTTTTTTCTCAACAGATTTTTTTCAGGGGGGGTTTTTGGGGGGGGGGGGATGTGTTAAACCATTTGGCAGCTGTAGCTGCAAAGGGCATCAACACAGTGTCTTCTGCATCTCCAGAGCGCACAAGCAGCAATGCAGGGTTTGTCTGTAACGAAGGGTAGCAAACATGGGCCACAGAAGGGGAGGAAGCCAGCTGGCTTTAGTGCACAAGGAGGAGACAGGGACCTGCTTACGGGCCCTCATGTCCCTTCTCCACACAGCTGTCCCTAGAACAAAGACATCCAGGTGTCTGAGGCTCAGAACTGGCAGCAGAGCCAGCCACCCCTGTTCACAGGATCTGCCTGGACACCAGGCCTGCCCCATGGTTGGCAGGAGAAAGAAGAGGAACTAAAAGGTCAGGCCGAATGGTACTTGAAGGAACTCTGGTTACACGTCCCCTAGTGTCTAAACTCTTGTGACCCGGATTACATACCGGTGGCTTCCTCAAATCTCTTTAAGCTGCCATTGCATGAGGAAAAGCACATGAAGGAGAACAGGACGCACAGGGCGGAACCTCCTCTCCCGTGGGCGTACATCAGGAGCGACACAGCACTGGCTACTCAGGAACAGGGCACTGCCAATCTCACAGGTTGACCTCCCCTTTCCCCGCCAAAGTTTGGCTTAAAAATCAGGGGAGTTTTAAAACCAACCAATGCCCAGTTCTTTTGATTTGCCTTCTGGGCTCTGAGCCACTGGGGACAGTGGGGAGGAGGGGCGGGGCGGGGCGGGGGG